AAAAAAAACAAAATAAAAAATTTTGGGAAAGACCAAAAAAAAAAAAAAAAAAAAAAAAAAAAAAAAAAAAAACTGGAAGTATTCAAATGACTAAAAATTAAACTTACATAATATATATGTACATGTGTCCTACCTAAAAATAGAAAAGAATAAGACTGGGCGCAAACTCAGACTAAAAACAAGTTGAGTAGAACGTAAAGGAAGTGAGTGGACGTAACATTTAAAAAAAAAAAAACAAATAGGAAAAAGATATGGCAGCTATTGTTGAAATGGTTTTAAATTAACGTGTTAGTCCATGTCAATAAGATATCTTGTATAAATTAAGTTCTCCTTACCGTGCATCAACATATAAGTGCACAATGATAATCACAAGTGCACAATGATAATCCCAAATGCACACCAAAACCCAACGAATGCACACCACATCACCAATGTGCGCACACCAAAAGCCAGTGTTACACAACCGTGCAGATCTAGCTTATATTGGACGATGACACTAACTAATGCAGAGTGTTGTCCAGAGGTTGCGGATGTGCAAATCTAGTCCAAACTTTAAGATCTGCATCCTTAAGATCTGCATCCTTAAGATCTGCATCCTTAAGATCTGCATCCTTAAGATCTGCATCCTTAAGATCTGCATCCTTAAGATCTGCATCCTTAAGATCTGCATCCTTAAGATCTTTTTTTACCCTTGAAAAATTCCAAGCCTGTGGCGATCGAGGCCAATGTAGGCCTACAATCCATGCTATCGACATGAACAATCGATGGTCATGAATTATCAAGGCCATGAAGAATCCATGTCATGAATTATCAAGGTCATGAACAATCCATGGTCATGAATTATCAAGGCCAAGGTCATGAAGAATCCATGTCATGAATTATCAAGGTCATGAACAATCCATGTCATGAATTATCAAGGTCATGAAGAATCCATGTCATGAATTATCAAGGTCATGAACAATCCATGTCATGAATTATAAAGTGACACAGCTTATAATCCTAGAAGATTAATCACAGGCCTTGTGGATTTCGTCCGGCGAAATCTACACCATCGTCACGACATCATAGTGACGGACGGATGCCAGCTTATTTTCACTTCAGCTAGCAGCTCTACGTCACACGTTTGACGATAATGTAACGGGGGGGGGGGGGCTTGTATCTTGATGGAATAGTAACCCTCCCGTAGCGCAAATACGTGTTTAAATCTGTTCCATTCTGGTTAATTTTAAAAGGATGTAACATGTGTATGCTTGTAGTGTATGCTTGTAGTGTATGCTTGTAGTGTATGCTTGTAGTGTATGCTTGTAGTGTATGCTTGTAGTGTATGCTTGTAGTGTATGCTTGTAGTGTATGCTTGTAGTGTATGCTTGTAGTGTATGCTTCTTTTTAATATAGAAATTACACAGTGATACAAAATATACAAATTTAAATTTAATTACGAAAAGAATGTTATAGTTTTTGAAAACAAGTTTGGAAAAGTGGTCTCAGAGGGTGAGCCCCTCAACCCTCCCCCCCCCCTTTTTCCCGGCTTCGCTACAGCACAACCAATGAATGCAATTAACAACACAGGCTTTGAACATATAAAAAATATAAAATCATTACGATTATAGTTTAATGAAAAAAATAATAAAATTTAAACTTGGAAATGTTGATGATTAAAAAAAAGTTTTGTTTTTTTAAAATAAAGAAAGGGTGACAACACTCCACAGGTACAACACCATACAGGCACAACACTCCACAGGTACAACTCTAATGATCTGTTTTGCGGGAAGACATCATCTCAGGCTAAGTCCAGGGCCTGGCTTTGGCGTCTGGCCTCCTTTTTGTTGCGACTATTAATGACCGCGAACGCTGTAACTCCAGCGGTCAATCCCAAGATAATGGCGCCTGCAACACCGAAACCAACTTTGGCCTTGGAAGACTGGTGACAAGAAACAAAAATTCTATTTAAATTGGTCGTCGATTAATATCATTAAAAAAATATTTTAGCAGAGATAGTATCGTATTTGCCATAGTTTTGTTGGGGGGGGGGGAACGCTTTCAATATTTATAACACATTTTATGTATTAAATACTTTGAACCAATGTCGGTGCCCAAAACAAAACAAAAATCGAATGGGAAAGCCATACAATGTGTCTTGTAGTTTGTATCAATTATATCTCATTGTAAAATTTTATTAAAAAAATACAAGAGGTTCGGTTCGGTATACGAACTTTTGCCCTTTTCGAAATCCTGCTGCATTACCTCCCCTTTTATCCACAGCCTTAGAGAAGGAGATCTCTCTGAATTCAAACCCGGAGATGGAGTCCCATAGTTTGTATAAAATTAAAAGATTGGAAATTTCGCCACCCCCTGCGCCGCTCGTGGTANTATATATATATATATATATATATATATAATTTTTTATATAATGTAAATAAACAAAACACTTTATAATAAATCGTGTAGCGCGGTGTTCCACGTTTATGTTAAACACTTTTAACCCAGCGATTGACCCAAGCCTATTTAAACTGAAAATCCTCCCTGTCCAATTTGACCTTGACCTTGTTGACCCAGTGCTTACCTGCTGACTCTCCTCCTTGTCATATTTGATCCTGTTCACAAAGTGCTCGCAGTTTTTCAGTAGAAAGTGGTAGTCCGTGGTGCCGAGGCACTGCTCGGCACGTCTTAAGATCTCATCAAACTCGAAGCTCTCACATTCATAGCGCCTAAGAACAGAAATAAGTTAAAATGATTTTTAAAAGACAAAAATAGTTGTTGCAAGGGTTCTCCTAGTGCGGTAGAAGTCTAACCTAGATAATACAAATTACGTACCCCCTCCCCCCCCCCACCATTTTTTTTCAAAGCCATTTTTCCTTATTAGTGATTTATTTTAACATTTTCTATTTCAAGAAATATACGCGTAAAAGTGTTTTATTTTACTGTAACAAAAAAAAAATAATTAAAAAAAAATAAAACAGATTTTATTGGTTTTTTTTTTAATTTCTGAAAGACAAGTTTACTTGCACTAAAAAGTAAAAACTGATTTAAAATTTCTTAGAATCCAATCAGAGGAAATTCCGCAGCGAATTGATTCAAATTAAAACCATGTTCACTGCTCTATTTATTTTTGTAAATATTTAAATAAACTGTATACAGAAAGGAAGACGCTAATGTCCTTCAGTCAATACTTAAATAATACGAATGACAGAAGAGCGCAAAAGTAGATTAATTTAGAGTTTTAAACTATTGATGATTTTATTTTTTATTAATACATGACAAAATACAGGTACAACAATACTCTTGACTGCAAGTCTCCTTTTAAAAAGATGGATTCGATCTACTCAACAAAAAACCCATCACATCAGTAATTGGTTTTTCGTAGTGGCTGAACCTGACCACTAAAATTATGAAGCTGACCACTAAAATTATGAAGCTGACCACTAAAATTATGAACCTGACCACTAAAATTATGAAGCTGACCACTAAAATTATGAAGCTGACCACTAAAATTATGAAGCTGACCACTAAAATTATGAAGCTGACCACTAAAATTATGAACCTGACCACTAAAATTATGAAGCTGACCACTAAAATTATGAAGCTGACCACTAAAATTATGAAGCTGACCACTAAAATTATGAAGCTGACCACTAAAATTATGAAGCTGACCACTAAAATTATATGCAACTGAAAAGTTTTGACATCTAATATAAAAAGATGTAGCAATGTAAATTATTGATTTTTTTAAAAAGCTTTAACCTACTCGTGGTTGGCTTTCTTTCCCTTGCAGTCCCTGGCCGCCTTCCAAAAACTCTCTTTGGCGATCCGGACTTTATTCTGTGGAGAGCTGGACACCGACGCCGCCAGGGTTTTCTTCATTTTCCGAGAGGTCGTGGCATCTTCGAGTTCGCAGATGTGAATCACCATTTCGTTACCTGGAAAGGTGAACAAGAGAAGATGTGAATCACGATTTCATTATCTGGAAAGGTGAACAAGAGAATAACAACGAGCTGAGGAATAACGCCTAGGTGAACAAGAGAATAACAACGAGCTGAAGAATAACGCCTAGGTGAACAAGATAATAACAACGAGCTGAAGAATAACGCCTAGGTGAACAAGATAATAACAACGAGCTGAAGAATAACGCCTAGGTGAACAAGAGAATAACAACGAGCTGAGGAATAACGCCTAGGTGAACAAGAGAATAACAACGAGCTGAAGAATAACGCCTAGGTGAACAAGAGAATAACAACGAGCTGAAGAATAACGCCTAGGTGAACAAGAGAATAACAACGAGCTGAAGAATAACGCTTAGGATTCAATTCTCATTGTACATGTTATCTAAGAGTTCGATGAACATGTGTCAAGAAAGTTTCATAAACTCGACAAAATAAAAATTTTATGAAATGAGTGTCAAATTAAACTGGTTTTTTTTTAATCGTATCCCACACATGCCTTCCCCGAGGTCAAGGAAATGAAAAAAAAAAAAAGATGGCTGCAATACCAAACTATCCGTAACAAAATACGTAGAATGGGGGAGGAGAGGAAGGGGGTGGTTGGTCTCCGATGTCACTTTAGCTGTTGCGTTGGCCCTCCAGCCCCCGCGGGCTGTTATATTTTAAAGACCCACAGTTGAGTCGAGGTTAAAAAAAAACAATAATTAAACTATGAACTTTATATGCAGGTGGGAAAAATAGCACCAAAAAAACTTTTTGCAGGTGGCGCCACATAAGTCACTTGACAGCTCTAAACAGTTGTCTACAGACAAGTAATAAACCAGCCGAAATCGATAACTCATTTTTTTCCTTTCCTTTAAAACTTGGCAGGTTTTTGCCAGTTACCTCCTCACATGTACCCGACAGAGAACGACATCATTAGGACCGGTCAACAATGTGTGGTTAAACTCCTAGTGCTGATTAGTTTATCACTCTTTGTGTTTGCCTAGACTCCTAAATGGTTACCGGAAATTTGATCGAAAGAAATTTCGTCGCCGGTAAATTGATCGACGGAAATTTGATCGAACGGAAATTTGGTTGAATCTCGATAAATGTGATTATAGTGCAATTCTTAGGTCATACTTTTTTTATTAATATTTTTTTCCATAGCCTATACATTCGGATGCAATGCTTAAAATAGTTCCTTAGTTGTTACTTTTAATGTATTTGTAATTTATAATAATAATACTTAAACTTATACTAAAATAAAAGCGGATATATATATATTTTTTTTTTTTTCGCCTTTAAATGTATTCGATTTCCATAAAATAATTGAAAATAACTATGATTCTTTTCAAGAATCCGAACATATCTAAATATTTTCATTTCTTTGGTGTTACGGTCAGTCTAGCTCATTCTTATAATTATACATAATATATATATATATATATATATATCTCTTCTTCTTCTATATCTTAAGGGCCCACGATCAATTTATTGATCATTTTGGCTTATACATATTACGCTTCTGTTGTGACTCGTGGAATGCTTCCTAAATGACTGCTTCCTAATCAGCGAATTTCTTATTGAGATTATATTACACATTAAAATTCTAAATGTTTGAAAGAAAGTATGCTTGAATAATGAGTTCAATAGCGCGCAAAATATAATTCCCGGTAACTACGCTAAATTATAATTTTTTTATACTACACAACTGCCTTTGGCACGTAATATTTTCTTTTCAGAAAACGAAATCGCCTCAACTTAAATATGGTGTAAAATATTTTCGGTTTAAAAGTGGTTGGGACATCAGAATATTTAATAAAATCCATGGGTGTGAAATAAAAAGTGTGCAGTTAACTATCATATGGAAGGGGTGTAGCAACAATTAGGATTCTTGAGTGTGCATTACTTGAGTTCATGTTTTGTCAAGTCACTTTATTGGATGGGAAGTTCACACATTGCTGTCGCCAATGTTTGGCGGGCTATAATATCTAATTACAAATATTACGATACAATGTATATAATAGTGACATACATATGAAGACAGCAGGGACCTACCTATGAATTCGATGATGACCTACCTAAGTATACAATAACGACCCACCAAGGTGTACAATAATGACCCATGTAGGTGTACAATAATGACCTACCAAGGTATACAATAGTGACCTACCTAGGTATACAATGAAGACATCAATGTGCACAATAACGACCTACCTATGTATATAGCAAAATGGTAATACACTCCTCCGAACCGGGCAAATTTCACGATGTCGCCCGGTTTTAGTTCCTCCAACAAACGCTGGTTGTGTTCACGTGGACTTGGTCTGCTCTGGTGGGTGCTCATGTTGGATCAGCAGCCCACTCCGAACCAACGGACGAGGCAATGTGGAATACTTGGTTACAAATGGTGGTGGATCGTCACTGTACCCTGTCGTAATAATAAAAACAACTAAATTCCCCTGACACTTTTCTGGGAATTCCCGAATGAGTTGTTTTTTTCTCCACAGAGCATCCCCTGAACTATTTCCTGTTAGTTAAAAAAAAATCTTCACTCTATAAAAAGTGTCTCAATTACAATTCAACGAGGAAAATCCTGAATTTAAATGTATATATGAATATCTCATAATTGTAGCAAGGCCTTGCCAGTTCAATACCTAGTGTAACAAACAAAATTTACACGGCTTATTGGGGTTTCCCACCTCAAGCGTTTTTTGTTCATGTTTTTTCAAGAACTATGTTATTCCGGGAAAACCTAAATATAGCATTCATGTACTTTCGCTGGGTTTGTTATGTGGGTTATTTTATTTTATTTGGAGGGGGGGGTGGGGGAGGGAGGAGGGAGGGAAGCGTGTGGATTACGTCATCCTAATGGTCCTGGTAGATTGGAGCTTATTGTCAGGACTACATCTGGTGCTAAGTATGTGGCATCATAATTATGTGTATGTGTCTTCATTTAGCATAAAATTTATTTTTTAGATATAGAAAGTTTATCTAAATATTGAGCTCAAATTTACACGCCATTTTGGAGATTTTATTTTTCGTGTTATTATGAAATCAATCTAAAATTAAACAAATTATTATTTTTACACTAACACACATTAAAATATGAATGAACTCAAAGTTTCTGTTAATCCAAAAGACCTGTGATCTCCAATTGCTGAAGTTCTACTTAATTCCGTTTTTCACAGAATGCCAATTAAGGGGCCGTCCGTAAAGTACGTCACGCTATTTTTTACCATTTTTCCCCCCCCCCCCCCCGTCACAAACTGTCACAAATCTTGGAAACCCCCCCCCCCCCCAAAGTGCGTCACACTTTCAAACAATTTTTTTTAAAAAATTGACACCTATTTAAAATTTAATCTAAAACACACTTCACTATTAAACAGTATTTAATTATAAAATTTCCAACTAAAAGAACTATCACATTATTAAAATGACTTTAATAGTAGAATAGTTAATTGTCAACAGTTGTCACAGTTATCCATTGAAGCAATAACTCAATCTAGATTGAATTTGAAAACAAAAATTGCACAAATTTGACTAAACAATTATATAATATACATAATTTTTCTGCTGCTTTTTCATTTACAATAGGTGAGGTCAAGTTTTAGATAATCTTCCGATTATGCAATCTTTTTTACACAGGAATAGAAGTAGATTAGTGAAACTTGACCTCACTCAGTGATTAAATAATAAAAAGGACAGTGACATAATTATGCAGCGGACAACATAGAAATAATAATACTTCAGGCAAGACGAAAGCAAGGCTATACATAAAACAAGGGTTCGCAAACGCATACTAGCGCTCCTTACGAGAGCAATCATGAACAACACATTCAGGAGATACGCAATTCTTGCTACTTTGACATAAAACTAATTCGAATGTTTCACAAAATTTTTGAAAATTATTTTTAAAGTTATTACATTCTACTAAAAAAAAAATAAATAAATTAGAAATGAAATTTTGAAAAAAATAAATGTGTGACGTCACACATGGCCTGACCCCCTCCCCCCTGGGAGGGAGAGAGAGAGAGAGTGTGTGTGCGAAAGAGAGAGAGAGAGAGAGTATTCCTTCTCTGTTAAAAAATGATATTATTGATATTACCAATTCGCGCAAGAGGTGAACAGATGTTACATTAATCACGTGATGGATGTAGCACAAGAAGCGAAGAAGTTTTTTTTTTTTACTTATTAGGATTGCGATCTTACAGATTGGGGGGGGGGGGCAAAACCAAAATTTGTTCGGCTTGTTAAGTTGTTTATTACTGGAGGCGCCAAAGTACATATCAATTTAAATAAAACCTGCAAATTCAGGGGGTGGGGTGGGGCAAACCCCACCCTGCCCTACCCAAACGAGGTCCCTGCTTACAGACCGGTGAAACATTGTGCAATGCTGCCGAACAATCGCTTACAAACAAAATTATTAAATAACCTAAGACATATTTTATATTTTATGTTAATGATAATATTCAAATTTCAATGAACTTTAAAAAAAAACATAATTAAATAAATATATATTTTTTATATTGGATGGTTTTTATCTTTCGTAAAAAATGTTTTACTGAAATAATGTGAATTATCTTAGGTCTACGGAAAGTTTTTAACAATGTTCTAAATGTTTAATAAAGTTTTTAAAAAAATTTGTTCTTTTTATCTCGTGCCTTAAAAATGTGTTAATATAAATACAAGTATACACGAATTCTTTGAAGCTGTAAAAATGAAACGCCGTAATTGTGTAGAATAAAAGGCGATTTGAAAGGTGGAGTTTTTTTTAATTTTTTTTTTTACAACGATGGTGTTGTGTGCGTGTATGTGTGTGGGGTTGGGATGGTGGCACAAAATGGAAGCACAGTTTCTGAGAATGTGACGTGTAGATTTATTTAAATAATGATAATAACGCCAGATTATCAAACACTGAAAAGCCTTAAAGTTAAAGAACACGACATTGTGTATAACGCTTAGCGCTTAAGTAAAATGTTTCTTTAATGGGGTTGTGTATTAGACCCAATTTTTGGGGGAGTGGGGTGTAGCTTGTGGTGGGGGCAGTGCGGGCGGCTTCGGATATAGGCGCAATAGGAGGTTGCCTAGAGCGGCATTTTTTTCCCTTCAAAATGGGACTAATTCCAGGAAAAATAAATTTGAAAAAAAATATTTTAAAAATTAAATGTGACTCCCCCCCGCCCATAATTTAAGTGTTAGTTTAGAGGAATACGTGTTTGGCAATTATTGTTATCCACCAGGAGCAAGCAGCGGCGTAGCTAGCCTTAGTGCTACCTGGGGTCGTACATTGACACCTCATGGTATGCATGTCATGTTCGTATTCAGTTGTTCAAAACTTTGCTCCGCCCCGTTCTTGTTACAACCAATCGTTGTGGACTTACTTTTCCTCTCTTCCGTCACATTTTGTCTTTAATAAACTACTTATGTTCTATCACATCCTACTTGCTGTCCTCCCGGAGACTACATAGCAGCAAAGAGTTTATTTTAATTTTATATTGGCTAGGAAATGTGTATAACGGCTAATGTGTTACATAATTTGGCCATAATCGCCAGGTATTCTATAGGATGGCTAGGAAATTTATATAACGGCTCACGGATTACACAGTTTGACCATAATCGCCTGTTATCTATAGGATGGCTAGGCAATTTATATAACGGCCCATGTTTTCACAATTTGACCATAATCGCCAGGTACTCTATATGATGGCTAGGCAATGTATAAAGCGGCTAATTTATCACATCATTTGACTACAATTACACACATTGCCGGTGGCTGAAACGAGCAAAATAAAACAAAAACTGGCTGTTTATAGCATCATAGTCCGCAGAAGAAAAACAAAGACAAAACAAAAGAAAAAGATGGTTAATGCAAAGAGACCAACATTGTTGACTATGTTGCGCTCGATCCCCTCCATGTGTTTTTGTTGATGGTGCCCCCGCCCCCCCCCCCGCCCCTACAAGTCATGCATAAATTGTATCAATTATTTCTGGATCATCCACTGACGAATCGTGGTATGAAATGTTCGCGCATCTAGATGGTTAATGCAAAGAGACCCACATTGGTGACTATGCTGCGCCCCATCCCCCCCATGTGGTTTTGTTGATGGTGCCCCCCGCCCCCCCCCCCGCCCCTACAAGTCATGCATAAATTGTATCAATTATTTCTGGATCATCCACTGACGAATCGTGGTATGAAATGTTCGCGCATCATCTTGTGTTGACTGGCTGGAGATGTTCCTGGAAAACACGCTGAAACCTACAGAAAAACCGTACTGGTGTATTTGTTCGTAGTACGCAGATACGTGTCTTGGCAGCTGCCCAACTAGTGTTTGATCAAACGCAAACTTCAAACCTGTGTGCCTTGCTGGACAGAGGTGTGACAGAGCAACCTGTGCGCCCTGCTTGACAGAGTTGTGACAGACCAACCTGTGAGCCCTGCTTGACAGAGCAGCCTGTGTGCCTTGCTTGACAGAGTTGTGACGGATAAGCCTGTGCGCCTTGCTTGACAGAGGTGTGACAGCGCAGCCCCGTGTGCCTTGCTTAACGGAGGTGTAACAGGAATATTTGAAGGAAGCAGATATACAAGCAACTTTTGTAACTTGAATTTTAATACACTTCTTTTGAGGAAAAGTGTGCACACTGTACATTTTTATCTGCGTACGGTGTATATTTTTATTCGTGCACTATGTACATTTCTTTAAGAGCTTTGCAGATTTATATGTGTACACATTTTTCACGTGAACTTTCTACATTTTTATCCATGTGCTAGATAGGTCTACATTTACATTAGTGTATATATTATGCACTTTTGTATCCGCGTACATGTGAACTTTTGTATCTTTGCACGTATGCACAATTGTATATTTATTTTTTTATACGATAATGCACGGGACGGTGATCCGGGGTAAATTGCCCCACAACTTTTAACTGAAAATATAGGGGCATGGGGAAAGGGAGGGGGGGGCTCAATGTATATAAATATTCTTTGTATATTTATAATTAAATTTACCGTATCAATAGATTCAATTTAACAGGTTGAATTTAAATAGTCTTTAAATAGCTTTTCTGTCAAAAGTAAGGGGGGGGCGTAGGGAGGGGGTGGGTGGTCCATATCGTCAGTGTAAACAAACGTATTTTGCACTCATAATAAGAGCTGGCCATGTTTGTTACAATGACCTATTTTGGCGTTGATACAGAAAGACTCTAATGCTACCCACCCCTACCCTCGACGAAATGGCCCGAAAGCAAAAATGGACATGACGCACTGGTCCACATAGACACCGAATTCATTTCTAAACATAAATAGAATTGGTCACTTTTCCCAGAGAAGGAAAAAAAAAGACTGATTAGAGCATGAAAGTATGCTCATGCAACATGTTGTCGTCACATGAGTTCTTTTTCCTGGAAAAGCAATTTTCCGCTTAGATGTGAACCTTGGTATGTATTTATCGTTTGATTACGTGGCAAGCACGCCCTTGGAGTTACACAAATCAGAGTCTTATATCACAAAACATGAGACAGTAAACCGCGTGTTTACCTGGAGAAAAACTGTCTGGAGCACAACTGTCTGGAGCACAACTGTCTGGAGCACAGCTGTCTGGAGCACTGCTGTCTGGAGCACTGCTGTCTGGAGCACTGCTGTCTGGAGCACTGCTGTCTGGAGCACAACTGTCTGGAGCACTGCTACCCGTATATGTGATCCGCAAAATTTAGGGTGTCCCAGTTTTCCAGCAGAACCAGGATTATAAGATCACATAATTTTGTGAAATTTTTTAAAATTAATGTTTTTGTGTGTGTGTGTTATATCTCCTTTGTGAAATAACATCCACACTAATACATGAATCGTGCAGTTTCACCCAACGTCCTGTGACAAAAAAGTGACTCCGTGAATGGTGGACGTGACCGGTGCACAAATTTGGTAAGTTAAAAGTGGTGCTGTAGATAAGCTTTTTTTTTTTAAAAAAAATGTTTTGATCAAATCGTAAACTCCAAGCGGATTAGATCGACTTTAAAAATTGCGCTAAACCTGTGTCAACAGCTACTGATCGTCGTGTAATGCGTTTATTTTAGATGGTAACAACGTCATGGTTGGCGACTCAATTTAATTTTTTTTTTTTATTCTTTAATTCTTACGGCGAGAGGTTTATGCACACACTCAAATAAAGACAAATAAATTATTATTACAGTTTGATTTCAATATGAACCTCTCTTAAATTTTCCGTCTGACTTTGATGTCACCAATGAAGTGAACAACGAAAATGATAAAATATTGAAGCTTTATTTTATTGAGACGCCTTCCGTTATACTCTTATCATCTCAGGTGGAGACCTGCACATGCGCACTGTCGAGCATTTTTTAAATATGTTTGTCTGGTCCATCCTCTCCACTAGTTCCGCGTCTATCTATAAATATATAACGGTAGACTAATTGGTAGCCGGCTGTCAGCAAACACTTATATAAAAAAAAGCAGCTAGAGGTCTATATTTATATTTTCAATACGATGACGCACGTGGCGTGGTATCAACTTTCAGTCAAACATCAACCACTGTTGGTTGGGTTTTTTTTTGTATGCATAACCGGTATCTGAGTCAACGTACAGATACCGGCAAGTAAACTAGCCCTACTGGATATGGCCCCAGCATTCGATGTACACAATTCTATAGAAACTAGCACCGACCAGTGGATAAGTCGACTCTGCGTTTTAAAATATAATTTATGACTCAAATTTCTCGACCCATGCATGAATAAATACTTTAACAATTTTCAATGGGTTTCAATAAAATTTATTTTTTTACACGTAAATATCCACAAGTTTCATTTCTCTGTATTTTTTTTTCTGTTCGCAGATTCCCATGGAATTTCATCAACTTAACATCGTCCTAGTGGGCAAGACTGGCCACGGCAAGAGTGCTACTGGAAACACTCTTGTCGGCGCATCGAAATTTTCTGAGGCTTCCGGGTTCAGCTCGTGCACAACACTGGAGGAATCACAACTGACCCGGTTTGAAAATATTGACATTCATGTCTTCGAAACTCCGGGTTTTTACGACACGCGTTTCAACGACCAACCGGAAGCCGCTGACATAGGGGCCAAGCTGCGACAAATAAACTCATTTCTCGCGACGGTCTCAGAAACGGGCGGGGTCAGCGCTTTCTTCCTGGTTATCAACATCACGAGCAGATTTACGTCAGAGGAGGTGAAGACCATCACGGCTTTAGAGAGAATCTACGGCGAGAGGGTGTTTAAAGATTTCGGGGTGCTCGTCTTCACCCACAAGGATTCTTATACCCAGGACTCTCTTGGCGAAAGAACCGGGGCGCTGGGTGAGTTGATTTCAAAGTTCAGCGGCAGGGTTCTCTTGATATCCAACAAGGGGAAGTTCTCTGGAGAAAGAATGCAATTCAGTAAGGAAATGATACGCGCGGCGTTGAAACTAAAAAGACAAAGGAAGATGTACACGACGAGGGATTATAACTTTAATCAAACGGTACGTTCCCGTTTCATCTTAGAGTTGCACTTAGAGAGCGTTAAAGAACGTTTGGATTCTAACATTCGAAATCTAGAGAGGGAAATTGAGGTTGTGGAAACACTTGATGCCTTCAAAGCAGTGTATCTATTGGGGCGGATAAAAAGACTTGAAGAGGAAATAATCCTCGAAGCCAAGGGGACGGAGCTCTTAGATGTGTTCAGAGATCGCGTTCGTCATTTAAAGATGAAGTTGAGGCGAAAACCCCCAATTTTCCAACTGCTTTGAATGTTTGCTTTCACAAATGATGTTAAAATATATTTTGGTAAGAGAGAGAGAAAGAGCGAGAACGTGTGAATTTGTGTGTGTACGTGTGTGTGTATATATATATATATATATATATGTGAGAGAGAGAGAGAGAGAGAGAGAGAGAGAGAGAGAGAGATGGATAATAAACGAAAGGAAGACACAATGTAGACATTGAAGGGAATCTAAGAGTTTTAAAGAGGAAATGTGAAGGAAAATAAATATAGAAATTTTAAATAAAGGAATCGGAGATGAAAGCATTCTACTTTTATTAACTCTAATTACTCTAATTACCAAAGTGTATATAACTGGATGGCCGCGTGGTCTAAACTGTTCCAATCTCAAGTTCATGGTCTGGCAAAACATCACCAGCACCCCCTGGTGGGTGGGACTCGTTAACCCCGTCAACTCCCCTAAGCGAGGAAACTGTGAACTCAGACCCGGAGATGGAGCCCCGCAGGCGGATAACATTGGCACAATGAAACATTCCTAAAACTCCTGCGGCGCCACAAGTGCCTAGCTGTATCATCCACGTGATGTTCCTTTGGGTTATCCAGTGGCGTGGAGAGAGGCGTGGAGAGAGATGATTTGCTGTGCATGGAATCAGCTTATAATCGTCCTGCGAAGTCTACACAGGTGGTCGAAAAATCGCGGCTCGCGAGCCGCATGCGGCTCTTTAACGCCCTCAGTCCGGCTCGGTCTGTCGCCCACAAATCAGTTTTGACTACAAAAAAACATGGTTCTTAAAAATAAATTTGGTTCTAAAAATTGTTCTTAATCGTCCTGCAGATGATGTTTGGCTCTTTCCACTAATGAGTTTTCCGACCACTGGTCTACACCATCGTCACATTGTAACGGACGGAGCCAGCAATGTATACGTTTTCTACTTAGACGATAGTCGATATGTTATTTACTTACATCAACTGTCTTTGAAATTTATTTGAATTCCCCCCCCCCCAACCCCTTGAATATTGAAATTGAAACAGATAGTTTGTCCACACAGAGTTTGTAATTTAATATTTTGAAACGAATGACTCAAAAAATCCTTGGGACGTGATATAAGAGGTACTTTTTATTTTTTTTAAAGTTTAATCTCCATTAATACTGTTATCACATTATATATAAATTAGATGACATGAATTATTTATAGATGAAATCGTATTTGTAGATGCCATACCCTCCCAAAAAATAATTTTTTTATATCAAATTTATTCAAATACTATCATGACTCATGTGAACATTCTGAATGTGCTGAAATGTCTAAGCTTGTGCCGGATTAGCCGATATCAGCTAAATAAGCTACAGTTTAAGGCCTTGGAATCTGCTGGGGCCTAAAAGAAACTAATCATTCGATCTTTTTCCTTTTTTTTTCTCTTTTTTTATTTATCTAATGGACAAGGGGCTTGTGTTCAATTCAGCGTCATGACGACGCAGGATGGTGTCAAAGAGTTTGATGAAATGAACCAATCAGATATGGATCGGTGACATTCCAGATTTAACTGAAGGTCTTGTCTGTGTCATTCCCCTATCATATGATTGACGACGGTGGGATTTCCAGTGTCCCACCTGGGTGAGCCTTTCAATGTCCCCTGGGTGGGCCTTTCAGGATCCCACCTGGGTATGCCTTTCAGTGTCCCACCTGAGTATGCCTTTCAGTGCCCCACCTGAGTATGCCTTTCAATGTCCCACCTGGGTATGCCTTTCAGTGCCCCACCTGGGTATGCCTTTCAATGTCCCACCTGGGTGGGCCTTTCAGTGTCCCAACTGGGTATGCCTTTCAGTGTCCCACCTGGGTGGGCCTTTCAGTGTCCCACCTGGGTATGCCTTTCAATGTCCCACCTGGGTGGGCCTTTCAGTGTCCCAACTGGGTATGCCTTTCAGTGTCCCACCTGGGTGGGCCTTTCAGTGTCCCACCTGGGTATGCCTTTCAATGTCCCACCTGGGTATGCCTTTCAATGTCCCACCTGGGTGGGCCTTTCAGTGTCCCACCGGGGTGGGCCTTTCAGTGTCCCATCTGTCCACATATAAAACAAGGGCTATTTACTCCACACTCCGCAGAGCGAGTTTTCAATTCACCACAGAATTTATCTCATGCCACAGATCCCTGTATGACTAGTTTCTTCCATTAAATTTCCAAATATAATATTCAATAATGGGTTCTCGAAGAGAGCGGCCAGAAATCTTCCCCGCAAATAAATGGTGTCAATATCTATAGATGCTGTTCCGTAAGTCTGTATCGTCCCATCAATACGTTTGATTTTATAAGTCAAGTCAGTCATTGAATTTTATTATATCAAACTCTTTCTGCAACCCACTATTGTACAACCCACTATTATACAATCCACTATTATACAACCCAATATTATACAACCCACCATTATACAACCCACTATTGCACAATCCACTATTGTACAATCCACTATTATACAATCCACTGTTGTACAATCCACTATTATACAACTCACTCACTATTATACAACCCACTATAGTACAACCCACTATTATACAATCCACTATTGTACAACCCACTACTATACAACCCACTATTATACAACCCACTATTATACAACTCACTATTGTGCACCCCACTATTACACAACCTACTATTGTAAAACCTGTGTCTCGAAGAAGGGAGACTTCCCTACCTAATAAAAAATTGTTTTCCCTTTTTAGCGTCACTGTTAACTTACTAGTTATTATCAAGAAAGTTAGCAATTTCACACAAGCTAAACGTCCTTTACTCTAAGAACTATTGGAAGAAAAAATCCAGTTGTAAAACTAAAAACATTTGTGGAGGATACATTCCACCATCTTCATCACGGCCACATAAGATCCGCTTTAACAGGGCGAATTCTCTCTCTTAACGTTAGGTAGGAAAGATATAAAAATTATTCTGTTCCAAAGTCCGTATGACTTTACCAGTGTGTTCTCCCAGCAGTCACCAAATCATAAATGATTACCAGTCATTATTGCCACTAAAGGAGTTCATATACGGCTGATTTCTACGCCCAGAGAAATAAGTTAGATATCTTGAGTTAAAATTATTATAATTGTAAAATGTTGTCTTGGTTAAAATATTAATTTATATACGTGCGGAAAATAAATATGCACAATGTAATAAAAAAAATGTCCATTTATTTGTACCGATAGGAGACAACAGATTGGTTGTTGTCAAGTCGATGGTCAAGCGCAACAAATTTATAGGAACCTTAGCTTATACATTTCATTGATGACCAGCAGCATATTGGGGTTGTATAGACTTCTAGCCTTCAATCAGTTTTTTGACCCACTTATTATTATTAAGGTGGTTTTATATAGCGCAGTACCCCAGCCTAGGGCTAGACTCACTGCGCTTCACATAAAAATTAGCAATTACAGAAAATTATACATTTAAAAAAAACAATAAGTGAAAAGCTTGACCTCACCCATCGAAGTACTAACAGAATCGAGCGTTGTTTATCAGTCAGGGGTGGGTGAGAATGAGTCGGTAGAGTACAGTTTAAAGAGATGGATTTTGGGGTATTGCCTTCGAAAATCTATTCTGAGTCCATTTCAAAGAGAAGCAGTTGAACAATATTTAAATTTTAAGTGCTAGTTATTTATGTGTAAAATATTCAGATGTCAAATCCAGATTTTTTTAGGCTTCATGAATTATATTTTTCAAAGCTGCCCAGCATGATCTGTTAAAAAAAAAAGATAAATATACATTTTAATTTAAACTTGTATTAATACTTTAGTGGGTTTCTTTTTAAAGTATATATATATATTATATTATATATATAAATGGGTAATTTGATGCCAAGTTTGAAGATCAAGATAATCTATGGGCTCGTCGTGCTGGTATCAAAACTTGTCTCAGAAAATGATACATTGCAAACGGAGCTTTTTTTAGGTAGAATAATAATACACACTTTCCAGTAAAACTTGTTGTATAAAGAAAGCATATTTTCCCGTATTATGGCAAACAAATTAGAATCGGGAACTTTTTTTTACACAGGTAAATAATTTTAATCATTCAAAATTCGCACATTTTACGAAAACATAAATCCTGTTCATGGAAGGTCTTGCGGGCCGCGTTAAACGTCTAAACTGGGCGGCATGTGTTCCGTGGTTGGTAAGTTGCCCATGTGGGATATGAACAGTAGCTAATTTTACATTTTACAAACGCCACTCGCTGCCCTGGCCCTGTGTAAGCCACAAGCCAAATGTTATCGACATTTTGATTCAATATATTCGTCTTGCACGCCTACCTCCACAACCCCAACACCACAACATACCACAGATACACCACAACATACCACAGATACACCACAACATACCACAGATACACCACAAAATACCACAGATACAATACAACATACCACAGATACACCACAACATACCACATTTACAACACAACATACCACAGATAAACAACATACCAGAGATAAACCACAACATACCACAGATACAACACAACATACCAGATATACACCACAACATACCAGAAATACAACACAGCACACAACAGATACACCACAACATACCACAGATACACCACAACATACCACAGATACAATACAACATACCACAGATACACCACAAAATACCAGAGATACATTGCAGGTTTCCCTTACGCCTGCTTACAACTATGACCCCAATCCAACGAATCCGTACGGCATTCCAGTGAACTTGAGAGACAAGGGTCGTGGAATTTGAAGTATTTTCGATTAGCCACGTTACTACAATTTGGCCGGCAATAGAGTCAGTGTTGTACAACTTACAGCCAGTCTAGGTCACCAATCAAGTGATGAGAACCAACTTTTTTTTGAGAATATGTGTCAAATAATGTTCCTATAAATGTGTTGCGTTTGACCATCGACTTGACAACAACCAATCTATTGTCATCCAAGAATGGCTGTGGCTGATTTCGTCTGTGAACATTCAGTTGGTTGATAAATGCCAAGCTTTCCATGAAGAGTGGGGCGATGGGATGAACCCGACACCACTGTGGGCAATGGCATTAGTTTCGTTGGCCTCGTGCAGCGTAAAAACTTTTAGCGCGCAGTTAAGTACAGTGAGTTTGGTAATGACATGGTTGATGAGGGCACAATGACAAAGATGAAGGATTCAATCGAGACATCCAATGACAATTTGAAATGTGGAATACAGGGCTGGTAATTATTACTTCATGCTCGGTTAAAGTTAGAAACAATACGTTTGGAACAATAAGTTTGAAGCATGAGAAAGCTTATCAGTTTCTGGGTCTCAAAACAATTTGGAGGTAGCTCTATTCTTCGTTGGTGGAGACTTGACAAGGTACTTGACGCCCGATAATAGCAGGACACATATATCAGGACACACAACAAAATGACAGGATATACATAAAAATGTCAGAAAATAAATAACAATTTCAGGACATGTATTAAAAAAGTTAGAATGTGCGTAGAAGTTTCAGGACATCCCTAAAAATGAAAGGACAAACATAACATTATCAGAACACATATAACAATGTCCGAACATATAAATCTACAACATTCCCTAAATGTGACAACAATTTCAATCTAACATGCCATAAAGTGAAACCTACTTAAATCTAACATGCCATAAGAGTGACAAAAACTTCAATCTAACATGCTATAAAAGTGACAGCAACTTCAATCTAACATGCCATAAAAGTGACACCTACTTCAATCTAACATGTCACAGCGACAACATAGCAGTTAATATTATTTTCTCTTTCTAACAGTAACAAGCAATTTTAATTTATTTTTAAATAGATAAATGTCTTGAGTATCTAAACGTGTTATGCTGTCTCAGGCAAAACTTTGTTTTAAATAGACAATCTGTAAGATGTGTGTGGCACTGCGTTATGTCCCCTACTCAAAACAAGTTTCTTCAGGTAAAAGTTACACGGAGTAGAGGACATTGCAGTAACCCTTGGACAAATCGGATTAAAGCCGGATTATGTCCGGATTAACTGATATATGCGAACTTACAGCAGATTAGTGTGTCTCACCGTGGGGATGTTGTTATTTATGCTTGTTGTTTTCTTTATTTTTTGGGTTGTAACACTGACCAGGGTTTAGAAAATATGCACTAACGAATGAAGTAAAAAAATACCACACTTTTGCTAAAGAGGAGCTGTGTTCCTAGAATTGAGCGTCTTACCCCAATGGCAATGATCTGGGTGGATTAGTTAACATTATG